GCAGGGGAAGTTTAGATTGGATATAAGGAAGAAGTTCTTTACTGTTAGAGTGGTGAGGCACTGGAATGGGTTGCCAGGGAAGTTGCCCTGGCGGTGTTCAACACCAGGTTGGACAAAGTCTTGGGTGACATGGTTTGGTGTGAGGTGTCCCTGTCCACTGCATGGGGGTTGGAACTAGATGATGTTAAGGTCCTTTCCAACCCTAACTATTCTATGATTCTATGATTCTATAGTCTTTCTACAGAGGTAATATATTTTGCACTTGTGGGACAAACATGAAAGCCATGTTTGTCCATCATGAGGAATTTGTGTCAACAGAACCTTTTCTATGACAAATAAACTGCCTCAAGCTTGATTGTGTTGTGCCTAGGGTGGAGAAACCAGTGGCTTGGTGTAAGTCCAGGCCCATCTGAGCAAGACAGCAAATAGGCCCTGACTGGCTACTGGCCAAAACAATGCTTTGTGCTCAGACTGGACAACAGCAATAATTGATGTATTTCAGGTCTTATACTCTTGTTATGTTTTTTTCTTAATAATTGTGGCTTATAACTTACTTTTTCTGAGATGGCCAACTCCGTGATGATTTAGTAATATATCACAATGAGTCTATTTAAAACTGAGTTCACCTGAAACTGCTTCCTTCATTCTTTTGTTGTTTTTTTTTTTTTTTGTGGTCATAACAGATGTCTAACAGCTTTTGTTTTTCCTGATTTGCAGTCAGTTAATGAATGCTGAATGTTCATTGGACGTTCAGAACCAAACCCAGATGATAGTAGGTTTATTCATACTTCTCTCAAATCAGTTTGCTGTGCCAGTCATAAGGCTTCTGCTCTGTGAATTGCTGAGCCACCCTTGCCAAGGCTAAGAAATTGTAGGATTCAGTTGGATTCCATGTTCCTAATGAACTCAACCTGTACACAGCTATATAAACCACTGGGTATGTCAGTTAGCAAACCTTAGCTCTGATTGTAATGCTGAAACAGAAAGTGCCCCCTAACCTGACATAAATGAGCCTTTCCTGAGTCGTGGGCCACCTCCTGACTAACCGTACAAGCTAGGGAACAGGCAGATGTAATCTTCCATGATAAAGAATGAATTATTAATGAATATTTCTGGATCCACAACTTAAGCAACTTACCTGGTACTAGCAATAAGAACTTCAGGAGGAAGGAATACACTGCCCTGCCCCACCTATTGAAACTTTTCAGGAGTGGCCACCAGCAGCAGCAGTGCAAATCTCAGACTTTCATTCCTGTAAGTGGAACGTCACTTCTTTAGATTTTTTCAGACTGCAGTCTGAAGATCAGGTTTCTGCTTGCTGTAATGATGTCTCTCTTCCCTGCACACAAGTCAATATGAGTGCACAAATAACACTGACAAATCTGTGCAGAATTTCAGTGATTTCTACTCACTCCCTGGTCCAGATTTCTTGGTTTTGCATCACATTGAATGTCTGTCCTGGACATGGTAACTTTCCTTTTTCTACAGTTGAGTGGATATGTTCAAAGAGCTGTGAAATGAGGATTACCCAAAATATATGAGGGATAATTCAGTCTGAACACTTCCACAGATGGTGTACTGCTATCAATTAAACTTCTCAGACACAACAGACATATCTTCAAAGTGTTTTAAAGAGGGCTCAAAGTCCAAGACAAAGATTCAGCCATTAAAAAAAAAAAGAATGCAGTGAGGGGAGGCAGACACCAGTTATCTTTCCTAGTGGCTTAGCTGTGAAGTTATGTCTCTTTAGATGATAAGTTTGTTTCTGACTGAGCCTGTGCTGTCTCGGTGCCATACCCCATACATTATTTATCTTAAATTACAGCCTGAGAATGCCTTTTTTCATGCTCTGTCTTCATTAGTTTAATTTTCTACATTATCTATATATGAAATACAGTATAGCAGTGAGCAAGTCTGACATTATTTTTGGTGTGCTTGTTAAATGTGGTAGGGGACAAGTGAACTGATTGATGATGAGGTTAGCATCTCTCCTATAAAGTGAATTACCTTTGCTTTGGAAGCTCTTTTTGAATAGTAGTTTAGCAAGAATTTACTAAAGCTCTTTGCAGCAGAGGGCAAGGGGTTTTGCAAGTTTTTAGTACTCACTGCACTGAGAGGTAGAGAGGGAAGAAAGTCGTTTTTCTGGCTTTAGTGCTTACAGTATACTGCCACATCTCCAGCTTCTCTTGCTGAAAAACCCAGCCTAATTTCTTGGAACTGTCTGATACAATGGTCCCAGCATTGCCAGTGGCATATTTCTATCAGACACAATTTCTTCTTTTCACTGAATTGACTGTTACAGCCCATGTATCATATTTTAATATCTTCTAGACTCTTGTCTACAAGACAACTTGCATTCAAGGTCGCATCTGTCATTACATAATGACCAAGTAAGCAAAGGTCTTAAAATGTGTTGTCATCTCAAGATGCTGAGATAGAAGAACCCAGTAATCCATATTCCAAAAGAAATGAACAGATGGACAGACAGCCCAAGGTCATACAGTGAAGCACAGTGTAAATGACAGATAATGTATCCTCTCTGAAATCCCAGAAATCAGTTTACTTTATTAATAAATGGTGATTAAAACATCCTTTAACATTATTAAAGCTCATACAATGTTGTTCTGGCAAGAATTTTCTTGATAGAGCAGTAAACAAATGGACCTCTCCTTTGCAAATGTCCTCAGGCAATGCCTTAGCTAATATAAGATCTAATAATCGTTAGAAATACACCACCAGTTAATCCAAATGTCCTGGCTGCAACCCATAGCAATGTAGTTCCACCTGATCATCTGAACTTCTTTTGTAGTTGCAGCTGGTCTGATGCTCTGATTTGAATTGAGACAGTATGTCCACTGAAGGACCTGATACTGTTGCTTTTTTCCCTTCCTGCTTTAGTTGTATTAGCAACTACTGTACACATGCTGCCCTCTGAGCAGGCTGCTTCAGCACCATGAGCATGTATGTTTCAGTTGCTTTTAACCACATTCAGTTGGGTGCTGTTGCACCTTCCTGAACAAGGATCTGACTTTTAAAAGGAGTATCTAGACTTCTCACAGGCTTTTTCAAATCCTTGCTGGGTCAGATTTATGATTTTATTAAAACCCTCACCTCCCTCAGCTGAACAATACCACAACTTTCCCTCTTTCTTTCCTCAGCTATTCCCTAACAAGGTAACAGAATGGAGAACAAACAGCAAAGCAACGGTGACACAAAAGAAAATGACGTGGTGAAGAAAAAACTGGTGAGTGAATTCTGCAAATCTACTGTCAACACATTTCTTTGCTATCTGGGGAGTGGAGGCAGAAAGTAACTATTTGGAACCTATATAAATACCTGCAGGCACAGGTCAGTGTCCTAAACAGAGGAACGCTGCTGCTCCCTTTCTGCCTTTGGTACCTGGACTGCTGATGGGCTCACTGTGAGACTGTACCACAGGACTCTCAGTTCTTCCTGTGTTATTCTTTATATGCATCCGGTTTTGAACTAGCCAGGTTTAGGGGCTAGTTCAAAAGGGTTTAGGTAAAATATTCTGGGGTTCCTTGACTTCGGGATAGGTTAAAACCTCTGGTTTTGGGGAGGGACTCTGTCACTGAAGACAGTGGTAATATTTTGGAAGAGAGTTTCTGTGCCTTTGTAAGGAGATCTTGGGAGGATGTATTCTGTGGGAAAAAAAAAGCTTTGGTTTGGCCTCTGACACTTTTCTTATACAAGAACCTGCAAAGCTGTGTATTCTGTCCATCTTTACCCTTCTGCTCTGACATGTTAGAGAAGAGCAAAATAATGCTTCTTTCCAAGGGAACATGGAGATTTGAACAAGGGGAAGCTGACAGGATCAAATTTGAGTGGTACAAAGAGTAGCACATGTTTAGTTTCTGTAACTTACTAACAGCGATTGTAAAAGGTTAAAATATGTGAGTGCGTTAAAGTGAGAAATTATGTACATATTAACCACATCAGCCATATTATTTGTATTTGAGTATGAACTAAATTGCTTGCTCTGAGCTATATTAAATGAAACTTAAATAAAACAGAAGTATGATTCATCCCAAAACACTATGGATTTTAAAGGCTTGATTATCCTAACTTGACTGTTTTACTGCTTATGACCATTCAAACGCATTACAAATGATGTATGGATCATCTATGTATCCTGATGTTTCTTAATATATATGACAATTTGACAGGTTAATGAATAGCATCTGGCTTTCTGTCTAAACACCACTCATTTGATCTTTGCCAATGACTCTTCAAAGTTGTTGCATCATAAACTGCTTTCAGGCCTGCAGTGCTTTATGGCATTATATTCTCTGTGTCTCTGAGAGCTCTGAGCTATTTGTGAGAGGTATGTAGCATGTCAGAAATGGAAACAGCACAGATTTACACCAATATTAACAGCAGCCATCTGGGAATAGTTCCCAGATGCACCTAATACTCATCCTCTGCCAACTAGGAGGTGTAGTTTAAATCTTAGCAGGTCAAAATCCCCATGTTTGCAAACAGACACCTTCAAAACCAGTAGCTGAGAGCTTTTACCTTTCCCAGGTAGCATGCCTAATCTCCACCTGTTGCACAGAAGTAGTGCAACGCCTCAGATCCAAACCTCCAAACCTCCTAAGGCTGTGGAAACATCCCTACGGCTTGTGGATAACATCTTAATTAGCTGCAAGTCTTGGGATATCTTCACTTTGAAGCCCCAGCAACACGACAAAACTGTTCCCTTTCCGACTCCAGCGTCTGCTTACAGCAGGGCAGTCCCGGTATCCAGGCGGCACGGCTAACCGTCCCCGCAAGCCGTGATCCCCAGCTCCTGGCCCCCTCGGGGGGGCTGTGCGGGACCACCTAGCCCTGCCATTTCCTTGCCGAACCTGCGCTGCTGTGTAAATCCCTACCGAGGGAAGTGGCCTGCCGGGAAACCGCACTCACGGCACTGGGCACGCACATTTGCCTAAGTTATGTGCGAGCCCGCAGATAAATGAGCCCGCGCTTCTCCATCCCTTCTCCCTGCCCGCAGCCCCGGCTATGTCCCGCTCCCCTCCTGTAGCCATGTACTCCCGCGGCCGGCGCTGCACACCCGGGCAGTGCCCCCCGGCAGCGGAGCCTCCGGAGCGCAACGCGCGCCCCTTCCGCGGGCGCGCCCCCGCTGCGCCCCGCGGAGATGCGCGGCCGCTGCGCACGTGCGCCGGCGGCATGGAGAATGCGGCGGGGCCCGAGGCGGACACGCTGGTGGCGCTGGAAGAGGGTGGTGGCCGCCGCCGCGCAAGCAGGAGCGTAAGTAGCGCAGGGCGGCGCGGAGTCTCCGCTTGTTTCGGGAAGGAGCGCGGCTGCATAAGCTGAAGGCCACCGGCTGAACGGGCAGCGAGGCGGGAGCGATCCCGGCGGCGAGGGCGGGTAGCTCGGCCTTGCGCTGCCCTCGCATTAGGGACGATCAGCTGGGCTAGGGACGGTTTCGGTCCTTTCCCAGCGTTGGTGGGGAGGAAGGAAGAGCCAGGCTGGTGCACGGTGGTCGTGGGAGCCGGAGCAACTCGCCGCCGTTCTCCGGAGAGCGGGGCAGAGCTCAGGTTGCACGGCGGCGCCGCCGAGCCCTTCCCCGCTCGGAAAGTTGTTGGTGCCGGTGCAGGAGAGGCCGGCGGCGGGCAGAGCTAAAAATACCGCGGCGGCCGAGCAGGGACCCAGAGGACGGGCGGAGGGCAGCGCCGGGGCTGGCGTGCCCGGAGGGGGCGGGCGGCTGGCGGAGGGAGCGGAGAGGGCGCAGGGGCTTCACCGCCCGCAGCGGCAGATCCTCGGGGCAAGGGCAGACCCTTGGGGAGAGCAGCGGAGTTTTCCTCCTTCGGCACCACCGTGTCCCTGGGCACACCTGCCAGCAGCGCCCAGCTGCCGCTTTCCGAGCTAGAAGTTGCCTGTGTGCTGAGCGCTTCCGTAAAACTAAGGGATCAGGGTAAGGTGCTTCAATATCCAGCTTCCCAATATCAATAGAAAGTCTTAGCAATATCTGTTTCAGAATGTTAAAACTTCCTTATGTACGTGTGCAGTATTTACTGCTGGCAGTTGTGTTTAATCTGAGATGGGGGTTATAACTAGCTAGCTAAAGTACTATATTCTAAACGGTGTTTTGAAAACTGAAATGCAACCTGTCACACATCTAAAAAGAAGAAAAAAAGGGCAATTAGTAGCCTACACGAATGTCATACTGCACACTGAACAAGGACGGGAGCTGCGGAAAACATCTTCCAGAGCGCTGTGCTCTGGGATCTATGGTAACACCAAAGCTGTGGACTTTCACAATTAAGCAGTTCTCAGGTATCTGGAGGTCTCTGCTGTGAACTGACAAGCAGCTCCCCTGACTGAGCACAGATCAGTGTGGTGGCAGTCACACCTACCTGCCCTTGCGCTGACGGCAGAGACGCGTGAGCACAAAGGTGGCGGTGAAGTTAAGGAACACCTATGAGGGAGGAGTGACTGCCTTCTTGTTTCCTGGTCCACTGTAAAGCACATAAACGCTTTTCACCACCACCACCCCTTTCCTTTTGTTAACATTGCCACAGGGTTAATATTTTTCTTAAGCAATAGTTTGCTTTCTTTTTGTCATTCTTGCTTCATTGTGCTTTCGTCTTTCATCTGGCATTGCTGAAATCTGAGCAAACATTTAAAATGTTTGCGTATGAGCGTGACAGGTCATGGAGAAGTTGAATTTCATGTTCCAAGGACTGTAAAACTCTAAATCGAGTAAGTCCGAGGGTTTCAGCAGCAGGCTCTATAACTGGAAAATTCTTGGATACTGATCCATGAAGCAGGTTCTAAACCCAGCTATTTGCAACACTTGGAGATAAAATGGATTTGGGGTTTCTAATTTGGCAGCACTTCAGTGATTTGTCCTGCATTACCTTTCACTTAGCCTCATGTGCATATAATGTGCTCTGCTGAAAGGTTTAAGCATTCACTGGAGTTTTTAATAAACACCAGGCTATATGATCCGAGCAATTTTGTTTGCAGGATTTTTCTGATGGGTCTAACATTGTTGGAGTAGTGCCCTTTAGCAATATTGCATCAACCACAGAGCACTTGTGAACTTGTGCTTATCATTTATGAACCCTCTGGGAGCAGCCTAGTAGACCTCCAGGAATATTCTCCTCAGCATCCTTGGTTTGGTGTGGTAGCAATTTCTCCTAAGTGTAGGAATACTTGTGCATAGTAGAGAAATAGTGGATACCTAATATGAAGTGTTATTTCCAGGAGTAAATTAATCCTTATGTTAAAATTTCTAACTTTCACTACCAAAATAACAGTGCAAAGCTGTGTGTGTGTGTGTCAGGTTCATTCTAAGAAGCTGGCTAATAATAAGTTGTATTTGGCTTATGCAGTGAAGTCAGTGGGATTTCTTCCACAAGGCTTTTCCCTATGTACACTTACTCCTAACCTGACTGGGAACAGGCTGGTTAACGAACTGTATAATCTCTTAAAAAGTTCTCACATGGTGTGGAGTTCAAACCACTCAGCTGTCCCATAGGGCACATTTGGAGCCCTCTGAAGCAGCAGCTGCAGGGCACGGCAGACCCAGCGTGTGCTGGGATGTAGGCTGCCGTCCCTCCCTGGAAACCTGATATCTCATCCCTTCTTCACATATCTCTGGTGACAGTGTGGGATGTGTTAACAACCACTGTGTGTTCACTTACCCAGCTGCCCCTGTGAGGCTGGTGGAGCTTGCTCCAGTTCATTGTCACTTCACATGTGCTGTGTGCTAGCTACACAAACCTACTTCATGCTCCAGATCTTCCAAAGCGGCAACACAGCTTTGTGCAGTTGACAGGTTGTATTGACTCATTAACCTGTTGTTTGCTGAAAGTGATATAACTGAAGCTGAGTCTAGTAGGCCTGCTTAAGCAAGTCTTTCTCCTTCTAAAAGGATTGAGGCTTCAGTGGGTGATGAGGCTGGGCATAAAACATCAGTGAGCTGTGCCTGAAATTCTGAATTCTTGACAGTCGGTTTGGTTTGGATTTTAATTCAAATACATCAAAAGCCATCTACTTCAGTGTATTCAGAAGTCAAGAAAGGTTATTTGTCTTCTCTAATCTATAAAATGACATTTACAATCAACCAGCCACTGTAACACAAACTTTAACATCTCTTGGGAATGGCAGTGATCACTTCTGCCATGCTCCGTAATTCAGCAGAAGTGGCAGAAAGTTAATACTGGAGAAGGTAGAAAGGACCCTTATATGCAAAATATTTCAAATCAAAGCATTGATCAAATCAATTCTACCTTTCATGCAGCAGCTGATGTGGAACAAGGAATTCTTGGCTGAAAACAGGATGAGAGGGATGGAGGGAGGAAACCTGAGAGGGTAGAGGTGTCTGGAGAAAAAGAGCAAATGGCATCTCCACTGGAGAGTGTAGGTGTGTGGCAGCAAATTACAGTTGGAGACTTGCATTTGAGTTACAAAACCTAGTTTGTGGGCAAAGTTTTGATTTTTTGGTCACAATTTCACTGAACCCTATACTCATGGAAGAGGAAGGCACACCATTTCACAGGTTTCCAGCTAAGTCAGGTCTATGCACAGGTAGGTGGTGAACCTGTTGCATCAAATATATGCTACTCCTTGCTTTGCTGTTAGTGGTATATTTCCAGCAGTTTCCTTTACTGAGAATATTCTTCTCCGGCATTTTCCTTTTTGGTATGAGGGCTGACAGATGCTTGCAGCAAAACTCCGTGAGGCTGAAAGAAGTTCAAATGTTCGCTTACACCTTGGTAAATGTTAACTGAGATGCTGTCACTTAAAATCTGCTGATCGTTGAATTGCAGCAAGGGGAAGTATTTCAGGTTGTTATTTTGCAGAGACATATTGCAAGGTAGTGTAAGGAGTGTCTAAAACCTGAGGTATGTTGATTTAAAGCATACTAACAGTAGCTGCATCTTTTCTCTGTTTTTCAGAATTGGTCTGGGAGTCTTATTGTAGCCTCCTTAACTGGTGCTTTTGGGTCGTCTTTTCTTTACGGTTACAATCTCTCTGTGGTGAACGCCCCTGCAGCGGTAAGTGGCCGACAGAGCTGGAATTCAGTATCAGCAGAGGGCAGCCGTGCCCCGCTGGTGTGCGCTCATCAGCATCCTGCTTCTACATCCCTGCTCGTGTAGCAGAAGAGGTTCAATCTCGTACAAACTCTGCTTTGCCTGAGAGCTTCTTTCTGCTATCCATGAGGTTTTCACATAAGAGCTGTCAGGAAACTAAATGCTGCTGTTGAGGTGAGTGGGTTCACATGCTTTGCTTCTCATTCTTCCCAAGACCAGACTAATCCCGAGTCTTGCACACTTTTGAGGAATAAGGTGTTTTTAATAGTATTTCTTTCTGACTAGTGAGTATTTGGTAGCTCTGTGCACATGTTCAGCAACTTCTGTTCACATCATTAAGCTCAGGAGCGTTGCACAGCATTTCATTTCTACAGTACTGATATTATAAATAATGCCTGTGGCTTCCTCTTAAAAAATGGGCCTCTTTGCCTGCATTTTGTGATGATGCCTTGTTTGATTATGAATTCAAAACTGCTGTGTTGATGACCCATTGGCTGCAACATATGGAATAGGTTTGATGAAGAGAGTACTGTGAAATCAGCGTGCAATATTTAGGGGTTTTTCATTTAGACGCCAGTTATCACAAATAAAGCTGGGAACATTTTGTTTTTACAATGGCTGTCTAGAGATGCTCTTAATTCAGCCAAGCACATCAGTAAGCAGTTCAATGGAGTTGCAAGCAACACCATTTTGAAAAAGTAGCCAGTAAATTTGGGGAGCTAACTGTAGAAATCCCATTCAAAATAGTTCCTATCCAAAGTTAAGTTCCTTCTTTTATGGAAATCTCTTCTTAAAATGCATGGTTAGTTTTCCACCTGAACACATTGGTCACGTTAAAAATTGATGCAATATTTATGCAAATAATGAAAGAAGACTTTTTTAGTTTGCTTCATATGGGTATTTTATTTGGTAAACTTATGACCTTAAGGACTAGGAAGAATCTCACCCTGTAGGAAGTTTTGATTGTCCCCTTCATAACTTCTTGGAATTTTCTTGAAGTTCTTGGTACTTTTTGTACTGATAACATAGGGTTGAACAGATGGTTATTCTAGTGTGACATGTCTAGGTATCACTTCACCTTGCAGTCATCAGAAGATAAACACAGAATCACAGGATGGTTTGGTTTGGAAGGGCCCTTAAAGATCATCTAGTTTCAACCCAGTGCCATGAGCAGGGACACTTTCCACTAGACCATGTTGCTCAAAGCCCCCTCCAGCCTGGCCTTGAACACTGTCAGGGATGTATGAGCATCTTTCTGTAGACTGTTGGGTATCTTATGACCCTGGTTACTTCAGTACAATTCCTTTTGATGTCTGAAGTCTTCCAACCTTACTGTAGGGCCGTATGGTGCTTTAAGATGTATTGAAAAAATGCTTGATAAGGACTGTTGACAAAAGCATGGGATGTTTCCAGGATCCTGCAGCTGAACATATCAGCACAATGAATGAGCCAGAGTAGGGGTTTCATTTAAGACTGAAGCATTGAAAAAATGTTAGTAAATTCTTGTGTACAGTATCTTTTGGTGCTGCAAGTTGTGCCACCTCATCAGACTGCAGGGAAACACTGCAGCTCTCACCAGTGAGAGGTCATCTTGTAAGGTGGAGTCAGTCCAACTTCCTTTTTATGTTAAGGGGTGAATAAACTGCCCGTACTCCACTCAGAACACAGATCGCTTCCCACTCAGTCCCCTACTTTTCTGTGGGAAAGAGCAGTAGCCCACTGCAGATGTGCTTCCCCTTGAACGCAACACTTGCCCACATGAGAAACCCACAATTAGAAGCCTCCATGGGCTTGTTCAAAGAGTTACCAGAGTTTATTGAAAACATATGGAAGCATTTGGCAGTAGGAAGACAAGTGCTTTAATTGAATACAAGCTGAAGCTGTCTTTTTCTGAGCTGAATTTCCACAACTCAATTCATGGACTGATTGTGGGCAAGGTCTGAAGAACAAAGATGTGCTTTGTGCTCTGTGCAGGAAGTGAAATCTCTGCTACTTACTGCTACGCAGTGCTTGCCCCCTTCCTGCGGGCAGCTGCAGCTCTGCATTCCTTTGAGCGCCGATACAGGGAAAGGGAGGCTATTGCAAATACGTGTGGCCTGCTGTGTCAAACATATTGTGTGTGAGTGACCTCTGTAACTAAGGGTAAGACAAAGAAAATATTTCCATTATTTAAAATATATCCCTTTTATATGTAGATCTTTTATATTCCCCTCATATTTACCACCATACCACTACTACTTAAATGAACAGAGGCAGGAGAATATGAGATACTGATATCAGTCAGCTACCTTTCCTTGTAGGCTTTGGATAGGGACTAAAATTTTTGTATACAGGTTTATGCCATTATCATTGTTCAGACAACTGGTTAAAATCCCAAAGGAGCCTTTCCACAGAATTCCGTGGATTCAAATTCAGTGGATTTGTTGGATCTGATCTGTTCTGTTTCATGTGTAACTCCTCAAAACCTGTATGTGCTATTAGCTTCCCATTTATTGGCAATGGGAATTCAGAAGCAGGTGATGTACATACCAGCACATTTATCTGTTACTAGAGTGTTGTAGTAAGTTCTTTCTTTAATATTTGTTGTTATTTGATGTCTCCTCTAAATAACAAAGCTATGCTGAGAAAATGAGTCATAATACAAGAAAAGAATAATTTGCATTCTATTTGTAGCCATTATTATTAGCTAGAAATGCTAATCATGCTCTAAAAATCTTTTATTTTAGTATTCATTACTGTCAGAAATTATGTTCAATTAAAAAAGAAGGTACCCAAATCTGAATATAACCTATTCATTGGTGTGGAAGAGATAAGATGTATTACTTGATATAATGGCAGATTAATTTGGAAGTTTATTGTGAGCTTATTCTAAATGGACCATGCACCAAAATGACTATTTGCTCTGAATTGTTTTTTTTTTTCTGTCCATTCATATGAAAACATATAAGATAGGATGGGATAAATATCACTGTCCTCCTTATAATTCAGGGCATAAGACACCCACTAGAAACTTTGATAGAAGGAATACAAGAAGTGCCATGTTCTACCTCCACCTTTTTTAGGTACTTTGCATGTGAAGAGGTGGTGTTTCAAACTGAATAAAGTCCTCACGTTGAATAGCCTGTCTGTCCAAGGCTGGAATACCTAAAGTCTGAAATTCTACATTTGAACAGGGAAAATGTGGTGTTAGGCAGATACTGCTGAGTCCTACCCCAGGATAATTTAGTACCGGTGACATGCCGGATGAGACCTGAGAAGAAACTGGGCAAAAGTGCCAAGATTACACTTTGTGGTACTACAGAGCTTGTTGAGGAGTAATAACACAGGTGGATGAGAGTGTTACACAAGCGTGGTGCGCCCTTCTGCAGTAGTGACCACCTGCAACTGCATCCTCCCCAGAGCATCAGACACCACAGTGACCTCAGAGCTTTGCTCAATTTCAAAATGGGAGGAGCATAAACATGAAGAGACTTGACTAAAGACAAAGTAAATAGGAGATGTCTCTACATGTGATACATGTTATACTGGAGCTATGGCATCCTTACCTGTTAGAAAGATGAATAAACTTTGGTGTAATTAAACATCAGGGAAGGGAAACTGTTAAAAGGCATTCGTCCAAAACCTGCAGTTGTGCATGTCAGGAGGGCAGAAAAAAGAATATAAACTTTGGGACATTGAAGGCTAAAAAAAGTGAGGTGGCCCTGGAATTTGGGTACTTTGAGCAGGCACAAATAATGTCCAGACAGAAGGCTCTGTGATATAAGGCTGGTAGGAGGAAGCTAAAAAAGGCTGTTCAGAAAATACAAGGATAGGACAGGAAACCTGAATTAATGTTTTGAATTGGAAAGTCTGGGCAGGTCCGGAGCCTTCTTTATAGAGAATGTATTGGAGATAAATAAGTGATAATAATTACTGGAATAAAATTAGAGCTAATTTTATGTCAGGTTGCCAAAATAGCTTAACATCTGTTCAAGACGGAAACAATAACTCAAAATATAGGCTTCATATCATAGTTCAGCTTGTTTTTACATAGCCTCAGTAACAGAAAGACTGAGAGGGTTACTGTGTCTTTAAGAAAAAGGTAGATTTTAGGGGTAAAATTTGGAACATATGTACTAAGAATTAATAATTCGTACCTGACAAACTAGCAGAAGCTGTAGTAGAAAAATGAAAATCTGGGGAAGAGCTGGAATGGTCTTTGCAAAGGAAAACTGTGACTCAGGCATCTGTGAGAGTTCTTCAGAGTCAAGAGGCACTTGGACTTTCTAAAGATATGGTGGAAGGACCCATATGGAGGGCTGTTAAGGAAATTAAGCTGCCATGGGTGAAAAGTGTAGGTCTTGATAGCTGAAGAGCTACAAGATAGGTCTCAGGTTTTAAGTTCTGAAGAAACCCAGCTTGTTTGGCAGATAGATTCATATCAGTCTGATTTCATGTTTGATACATCTTTCATTACTGAAAATAAATAGCTTACTTTGTTTAGCAACCTGGTCTTTGTTCAAAAAGCAGCTATGTAGATTTGAAGAGAAGATATAACCTACTTAGAAAAATGATTTGGGATTCTTAATTTTAATGGTGCCATGCAACTAGCTCTTTTTGACTGATACTGTAGGCTATCAAACCAACCGCTGTCAGCTATTGCCTTCTTCCTCTCTCAGTTATTTGTCTTGGCTGTAAAGTCTTTGGTAGAAAAAGCTCATCTTTCATTGCTTGGCTTAGTATGTCCTTGATTTTGTGTGGCTGCCAGATGTGGGACTGTCATAAATACAATGCAAAAGTGGAAACAGCCTTCCTTCCTCCACAATTCATTAAAGCTAACTGTTTTCAATTCACTCCATCTTTTTTTTTCCTAGTGTTATGCTGAAGAATTTGTAGAATTGCTCACTTCTGCAATACTGGCCCTTTAGAAAAAATAGACTAGTGAAAAGCGCTTAGTTTTGAGCAAATCGGAGACCTTAAGGTCCTTTCCAACCCTAACTATTCCATTATTCTATGATTATATCTGCATTCTGGGATTGAAATCCAAAGTAGAGGTGATAAATGTTCTTTTATGGTGAGCACAGTGCAGAGTTTTGCTGAAAGGAATCCTAATTCAACAAATTTTAAAGCATCTTTAAAAATTTTCAAGGGACTTCCTAAGTTACACGTGAACATCCCCCTGCTCCCTACACCTATTGGCATATGGGATTTGGTGCTGCATCCTGTAAAACAAGCCAAACTCTTCTCTTGACGTGAGTCACGTTGCCATTTGGACATCATGTTGCAGGAGTTGATTGTAACTCATTTCCTTTTTATTATCTTTGCATTTCTGCCAACTCATCAACTTCAAGACATTTTTGCCTCTACCTGCTACTGCAGCCTGCCTTGCCTGCCACCCTTCCCTCTTTAATCCCAAGTTACTGGCATTACGTGTCCATGGTAAAGCAGCAAAACTCCTTGCTTTTAGCATGACTATTCATGGTCCTTGACTAACAGTAGGTAGCTTATAGAATTTTTGCATGTTCTTCCTCTTATAAAGTCATGGGAAATGCTAGGCAGTACAGATTTCCTTGGCTTGTCCAAAGGTCTGTTGCGCTAGGGTGTGATATGTCAGCTGGCTGAGGTTAAGAGTGTGTATGTGAGAAGTGAGGGGAGCTCAGCTGATGTGCCTTACCTTCCCCCCATGAGTGGCATGACTTTGTGGAGTCACTCTTTGAAGAGATTCAGAAACCTCCAGCCATGGTCCTGGGCATGCGGGTCTAGGGGGCTCTGCTGCAGCAGAAAGGTCAGAGAAGATGACCTCTAGAGGTCTTTCCATCCTCAACCGTTCTGTAGTTCTGTGTCTGAGTCCTCAGGCCCAGCTCTGGCTGAAATGTTTATAGATATGAACACAGGAAAGCTAAAACAGTTGTTAGTGTTGAACTAACAACTTGAATGAATCATCCTTGCATCATGCGAATTTCTCTTTTATAAGCTTCTTCTACATTCATGTCTAGCTGTGTTTTTACCTCCCACTTCATGAGCTCCATGTAGTTAAACTTATGTTATGCTTTTACTGGTTCAGTCAGTCTGTATTGCAATTGCATCTAAAAGTGAGGCCCCATTGTTTGGAGGATAAATAGAAGAGTGAGGGTGATTCCTACAATCAAGCTACTGCTTGTTTTTCTGTGGGTTTTTTTACTTGTTTTTTATTATTTTTTTATTCTGTTTCTCTCAGTTATGTTCTTAAAATGCAATTTTTTACATGTATTCTTATGTATTTTTTTTCAGTTTATCAAGAAGTTTTACAATGAAACTTGGGAAAGAAGATATGGCTTCTCGGTGGATGAAAGCACACTGACTCTACTCTGGTCCATAACCGTTTCTATTTTTGCCATTGGTGGCCTTGTGGGTGCCATTATTGTTACCCCAATTGTGAAGTTCTTCGGACGGTAAGTGCATTGGAAAACTTACATTTTCTAAACCAGTTTCTCATTTAGTCTCCCTGGAAAGCTTTACTTTTCTTTATAAAAACCTTCTTCAGCAGGATGCAAATTTAAACGTCTTCAAATTATGAAAGCTCTTTGCCAAAGAGTTCCAGATTTGCAAGAGTAAAATTAGTACCTTTCTCTGTGGTCTTGCTGTGCATCATTTGAGAAGCCATTTGCTCTGAACAGGCAGTGGGTTGAGATGTCAAGGAGGTTGTATTATCAACAGTGAAAAAGGAAAATACTGTAAGAAAAATTTCACACAGGGTCAGCAGATTCTGGTGTCACAAGCCTGCTGATAATCTTATTGTACACAAATAAAGCTATCAACACATCTCATTTGCTTCTTAACAACATTTAAAGAACTAAGCTAGGATAAAGTTTGTGTTTGGTCTTCCCAAATCCTGGGAATGCCTTCCCTGTTCTATGACCAAGTCTGGACCATAGGGAACATGATGTTTCTTTTTTGTTGTTTTTGTTTCATACAGTCTTCCAAAGAGAATTTAAAATTTGTATTTTGGGGGGGGGTGGTGGTGGTTGGTTGGTTGGGTTGGTTTGGTTTGTTTGTTTGTTTTCAAAAGCCATTATAATATCGATCTTGACTGCTCATTTGGCTCTTCCTTAATTGTAAATTATGTATAATTTGATAATTTTTGCTCAGTTAAATCACAGGGGAAGGTCATCACAGAGGCATAAATTGATCTCCACTACTCGTACTTTTCTGTTAGACATTTTGACTATTTCCATCACTTTCAATTGTACTCTACTAGGCCTGTTTGGCATTCTCCCAAATATTCCATATCCCATTTTTCTCTTCAGAGAGTATATTTTCAGGTTCTTCCATTTCATACTTACAGGAAGTCAGTATTCTCTGCTCTGTAAATCTATTACCCATTCTTCATTTATTCTGCCCCTTCACCTCATAATTTGATTTTCAAGTCTTAAATATTTTTCATAGTGACATTATTATCTTTAGCGTTGCAATTTCTTCTGCCAAATCATCAATTTGCCGTTTACACACTTCTTAAATACATGAAACTATGCCTGACTCAGACTGATTAATTCTCAGAATTGTCACTGAGTCTTTATTAAAAAGTGAAGTAAAAAATTGCTTCATAGAAGGCTTGAATTTTTAGTGAAGAGTAGAATAGCTTTGTGTGCAGGTTTGTTAAAGTAAGTGGTGGTTAATCTCAGTCATATATATACCACTTTGATTGGAGCAGGTCATATTTCTAGGGCAGAGCTTTAAATCTTACAGACTCTGCCTTTGTTTATTATGTTTATCTCTGTTAAACCACGAAAACACCTCTCTTATGGATGTGCTGTATGAGTACTTAATCAGACACAGGAAGAATTATCTCAAGCGCAGCTACAGATTGGGCAAAGAAGAGATTCAGAGCAACCCTTTGGAGGAGGACTTGAGGGGGTTGGTCAATGAGAAACTGAACATGAGCTGGCTTCTGTGTGATCCCGCAGCCCAGAAAGTCAACCATACCCTGGGCTGCATCAGAAGGAGCAGGACCAACAGGTCAAAGGAGGTGATCCTGCCCCTCTACTCTGCTCTCGTGAGACCTCACTTGGAATACTGTGTGCAGTTCTGGTGTCCTCAACATAAAAGGACATTGAACTGTTGGAACAAGTCCAGAGGAAGCCACAAGGATGATCAGGGGACTGGAGCACCTCCTGTGTGAAGATTGGCTGAGAAAGTTGGGGCTGTTCAGCCTGGAGAAGAGAAGGCTGTGTGGAGTCCTCATAGCAGCCTTCCAGTATCTGAACGGGGCCTGTAGGGATGCTGGGGAGGAACTCTTCATTAGGGACTGTAGTGACAGGACAACCGGTAGTTTAGATTGGGAACAGGGGAAGTTTAGATTGGATATAAGGAAGAAGTTCTTTACTGTGAGGGTGGTGAGGTGCTGGAATGGGTTGCCCAGGGAAGTTGTGAATGCTCCATCCCTGGCAGTGTTCAAGGCCAGGTTGGACATAGCCTTGGGTGGCATGGTTTAGCATGAGGTGTCCCTGCCCATGGCAGGGGGTTGGAACTTGATGATCTTAAGGTCCTTTCCACTCCTAACTATTCTATGAATCTATGATTTCTGATGAAACTTTAATTCTGTCATTTTCCTATTTGTGAGTTTCAGACAAAAAGTTTATTAATTCAGATCCATAATTAAAGTTACCGTAGCCACGGAGGGCACATAGTCCCTAGGATTCTGTTCTGGCTTCCAGAACTATCTAATATAATGAGAGCAAATGACAGCCTTGAAAATATTTAAAGCTTAGCTCTGTTTGTGTCTAGGTGACGGATGAACTGTTTCAGCTGGGATGCTTATAGAAATTGATTTCTACTGAGCAAATGGCTCTTCTCTTAGGACTAGTTCAGGCTCAGCTTGGGGGATTTACATTAGTTTACTGCCAGTGAGCATAAATACTTAATTACTGCTCTAGTTCTGAGAAACAAAACACCTTTCCTTCCACTTTCGCAGGCTGAACATCACTCCAGTCTCCTCTCCTCCCTCTTGGTACCATGGCAGGTCAGACTCAGTCCCTTCAGTGAGAGAACGGACAGTGCAGGGGGTCCGGATCAGTGCGTAGCAACTTCTCTTTGCCAGTCCTTGCTTTTCATTTTCCTTCTGTGCTCCAGCATGGGTCCTCCATGGGCCACAGTCCCTCTGGGGATGTATGTGATGCATCCTGGAGCACCTTCTCCCCCACTGACCTTGTTACTCACTCGTTCCACCTCCCCACAGAAGCCATCCCTGCATCCCTTCACTTCCAAAACCTTGCCACAGATACCCATCACAGTGTTTTCATTACCAAAAATTTCCATGCATTGTATAATAACACACTAAACTGTGTGTTACTTTCTTTTTGTCATTTTTATTCAATCTGGCAAGTACAAAATCCTTTGGTTAAATCTTGGTTGTTAGGCTGTGCTTTTCTGTTCTTTGCTGTATAGCATACGGAGCCACTGGCCAACTTTTTCTAAAAAGATATATATTTTGTAGTTTTTATTTAAATTAATGGAAAGTATATCTTCAGATGAATGTGTAACAGTTTTTTTGTGCTATATGAATATTTTGTTTCCTTTTTTGGCATTATTTATATCACTTGAACCCTCTGAAATTATCCATTTGAAAAAACTGTTAAAAATGGTAAAATCATCATTCTTGATGTCTATGTTTTATAAACATATACTTTAAATGAGCTGTATCTTATTTTTTGAATCTCAAACTATGTTATTCGTTCAGTGTTCAAAAATCACTAGAAAACAGGAAAAGTAATTAGAAATAAAAATATTAAAATAAAAGTATTAAAAATATCTCCTATAAAAAAAATGTATTAACCCACTGTATGAAGTTGGGTGACTTGTTCAGTGATGGGATATTTCCAGTTGATACCTATGTGTTGAACTGGAGAAGAATGAGGACTGATGGGTCAGTTTGTTGTCTGTATTGATAAAGGGTAGACAGCCTTTCTGGTCACTCCTTTTGCATGGAAATTACAACATATAGAGATTGAAAATCCATTGAGAATGCTTAAGAATTTAATACCACTTCAATTTTTTAATAAAACTGGTGTATTGTGCCTGTGTAGTTTACTATCAAAGTTAATGGATTCCTCATAATTAACTTCATCAATGATGTTTATCTCGAGGTAAATTTGTTTTAAAACCAGTTATTTCTTTCATACGTTGTTGTGATTGGGACTGGAAGCTTCAGTACTGTGTTGTACCTCTAGAGCTAAAACAAAATTGTGCTTAATTATGTGACTGCAAAACCTAATAAAAATGGAGCTCCATTGTTCTACCCTATATAGACAAGTGAGGTGACTCACAGGTGGAAAACATAGGGTATAATCATTCTCTTGCCATATAATTGGGAAAATCATGGTGTTTTGTCCTGTGTTAGGTCGATGCAAAGCAGCAATCTTATTATAATATGCTGTACAGAAGCCATCATATCTCCAGCAGATACCCCTGGGTCTCTGCCTGAGAATCTTAAGAATCTTTACAGTTGCTCACAGGCCTGAACCTGGTGATAACAGCTTCTCCAGCCACTCACCTACAGGCTGAACTTTAGCAAAAAAGCCACTTAAATCTGTATTCCTGGAGATGTATACACAGTAGGAGTGATTGAGATCTTGGTGGGTTTTTTACTTAAAACTTTCAATAGAGAATCATTGAAGCAGAGCTGTTGATCTTACATCTTTAACCACTGCTCCTCCATGTGTTCATGAAATGAGAACTTGGATGCTGGTGTTTGAATCTGACTGTCAAAGCTCATGAAATCCTACATATAATTTATTTTGTGAAGTATTTCCCTTGCAGAAGTTGAGACTTACGAGTCACTTTTGCATTAATGAGTCCCTCAAACTTAAGCAGAAAGTTCTGAGAGATGAAAACTATAGTGCAAATGAGAAATTGAGTTGGTTTTGAAAAAATTTCAAAGACACTTTTGTGATTGTTTTTTTACAAAATAATAATTTTCCATATGAATATTTATTTTATTTAAAGGAAATATATTTTCAGGTTTTTACTGCTATACAGTGAAATACCTTAGAAATTGGGGAAAAAATATATATCTATATGTTGGTTAATTTCAATAGTTTTTGGAAAAGGGTTGATTTCTGCGACTCATGTGAGCCTGAATGTTTTTTCTAACTGTAGAAGTAGTAAGTAATTTTCCTCAATGTGTATTTTTAATATCATGGATTTAAGGATGGATTACGATACCATAAATACATCAGTGTTGGAAAGTTCTCAAAATGGCAAAAAAATTATGAAGCATAAAAATGCCTGTGATTATATTGTCTTATTGCCACTTAAAGTATATTCTCTGGTTCCTACATACATACATTTATCCAGAGTACACTTGTTTGTAGTCATATATGGAGACTCAAGCATGACACTTGAGTTCTTAGGATGTATAGGATGGGTAATTGCTGAGCCTTTGGTGTACATATCTACATAAAATATCTGTTTCTTTTAGGAAATGTACGTTGCTGTTCAATAATGTGTTTGCAGTGACAGCTGCGTTGTTGATGTCCCTCTCCTTGCTGGCGGGGTCATTTGAAATGCTCATACTGGGCCGTGTTATAATGGGTGTTGATGCAGGTAAGCTTTTATCACTCTGAGCATGTCTGAAATGCTTGCACCATGCATAATCTTTCTCCTCTCTCCCAGTTAGATCTTTCTTTACATTAAGAGGCATTTCATGGACTAGCCACACTGATTTCACTGAGACAAAAGAGCAGACAAGGGTTGGGGGTTCTGGTGTTTGAACAATGGGTTCTAACTGCTGCTGTCCACCCTTGTCCTCCTTCAGCTGTGGTAGAGAATATTTGTCTTCATGCCATGAAAATCCTTTGGCTAGGAGTGTGTGCTCTATTTTTTTATGCTGCTTGCTGCTTTGTGTTTAGAAGTCATTGGATCCCATGCTAGTATCAGTAGGATTAAGTGGAAGGTTTGTTACATCTTTTGCACCTCACAATGTGATTTTCCTGTGCATGCACTGCTGCATCAGAATAGTCTTGTAGTTAGCAGTGAGGGTCTCAGCAACTTCACAGATTGATAGACGGAGAGAAATATTTACCTAATGTGGCCACAACCTTGATGAACTGAAAAGGTTTTATGCTTTCAGTGTAATCATGTGATTCCAAACCATGCAAAGTACTTTGGGTTCTGCATCATGAAACCCCTTTTCCGGCAAGCTTTGGCTGTGTTGTTCGTAAACTAGAACTATGGTAGTTTGAAAGTGGATGTATCTGTCACTTGTAATGTGAAGTTCATGGATAATTTTGGTGCTGAATGATAATTTTTTTCTCATATTACCGCCAAAGGACCAAACTTCTAGAGCTGTGCAAATGTTATCAGTGTACTAACAAGGGTCATGCATTTGTTGTCTCCAGACTTTCAGCAGCATTCTCATCCTTATTTTATACTTGCTATAAAGAAATCATTGCAGTTGCAAGCCTGTATTGAGAGGAACATCTGCTAATACCATTTTTAGTAAAAATACTTCATCTGACAGTGTCTGCTCTCTCTGTCTGACACGTTGTATTTATTTTCCTTACCTACACCAGTGTTAGAGTGCTTTTGCTTGCTTTGGGATGAGCAAATTTGAAACATAAAATCCATTCTCCAGGTGATTCTCATCTCCAAGTAACCTTTGGTGTTTCTCATCAAATAGCAGCCTACGCACAACACTGCAATCTGTAACAGATAATCAATTCCATGGTTATTAAATAGTGAAAGAGCAATTAGATATGCAAAGAAGATAATTCATACTGTCTGTGGATAGATATAATTCTGTTCTTTGAGTATTTTTATGCCACTTTTGTGAGCAGATTAGCACTTGAACTCCTTTCAGCAGCTGTTTGTTTCATAGCTGGCATAATGAAAAGGTGATTTGACTTAATAATACATGTTTTCTTTTTTCCTTCATAGGCATTTCTCTCAGTGCCCTTCCCATGTATTTGAGTGAAATATCTCCTAAGGAAATCCGTGGCTCATTGGGTCAGGTCACAGCAATTTTCATCTGTATTGGTGTTTTCACTGGTCAAGTTTTGGGGCTGCCAGAAATATTTGGGCAAGTACGTATTTAACAGATGTTTTCTGTGAAAGGACACAAGTATGCTTAAAGTGTCATATTGTCATATTTTGGATGAGTTCCTTACAAAAGTGAAAACAAAAAAAATGGGGTTTTGTTCTGAAGCACTTTGAAAGGTAGTATCTTCTGTGTCTTTTAAAAGCCTGGATGCATGACTGAGTTTGGTAGATGTGGCAACCAGTTTTAACAGCCTGAGCAGCTTGTGTGTGTGCATATGCAGGTTCACTCCACTAATCCCACTTTCTTGATGTACATTTATTTTTGCTGCTTTCCAGTTTCTTTGAGTGTCATGGAAGTGCCTGAGTGTTTTTGCAGTTTCTATTTGTAACTTTTCAATGTGAGCTAGAACTGAAAAAGGCTTGGTTAGAGTTTATATGAGGACCTGAATAGGAAGACACTTGCTCAATGATCATAGCATTCCTTGTAATGCACTCCTACTTTTAGACTAGAAGGTGAAGAGCAGAGTTATATATACCTTCACAGAAAGAGAGATTAACTTGGTGGCCACTGGATGTCATCATTACTCTAAATAAGTGAAGTCGAGGCTTATTCAGTCTGGCACTTGGAAACACTTTTCATCCAAAGATGAATCATAAAGGCGGTGTGGAGGAAATTTCTGCACCCATCCTCTCACAATGAAACCCAAACTAAGAATCTCTTCTGACAGCCACCAAAAGTAGTAAACAGTTGAAAAGTGAGGAAAGCTTGTCCTCCTGTGTCCATCCAAACTCATCTCCTTTGTAAATACATGATCCCATCTTCCCTGACACTTATTTTTGTCTGACCAGCTTGTATTCTGTCCCTTTACCCTTGGACTCACCCTGTTCAGGTTTCCTAAAGGCAAATGATTTGATTCCATTTGCTCTTTATAGAAGGACTCCCCCCTCAAACAAAAAGATTTTAGGAAAAAGCTTAAAACTGCTTTCAGTGACCTTCATTGTGTGGCTTCTATGGATGTCCCCTTCTCTTACTTGGAAACACAGTCTGTTACAAACAAGGCTGTTAAATGTCAAGAGGCTAGTTTGATGCCTTAGAATATGTCAGCCCTTATATAACAGGTTTTGGGGGGGGTTGTTGGGTTTTTTTGAAACATATATTCACTAAGGTGAGGTGTCATGCAAATTCTTATTTTCCTGTAGGTCTTTGGGATGTTTTGAATGGGAAATACTTATTCCTTGGTTTCAGCTCATTCTTGCTCATTTTATTTCTCTTCTCCCCATCCCTCCCTCCTAATCATTGTCACTACCAAATTATGGACGTTGCTATTCTGCTTTTACAACCTGCTTTAGTATGCAGTTAATCGATATTACACCATTAAAGATAGCCACTAATTTACAGAAGAAGAAATACACTTCACCTGTAGAATTAGTTCTTTTCAGGGTGGGTTACATCATCATGTCAATGGAGAAAAGTTTTGTCTGGTATGAATTAGCATATTTCCAGCAAAATTATTGGAGCCAGCTTGAATTTTCCAGCTGGGCATGCAGGTGTATTTTCCATTTAGCATATTAATAAAATTTAACACTGAGGGAATACCTCAGGCTGTTTGAAATATTATTACCTTATGCAGTCTTATCCGTCTTTGAAGGCTGTATTGAAATTTGTGTTGGTTTCAGTCAAGCCAGGATTGTCTTCCCTAGCTTTGTGTGGTTCACGTTGAAGTCGGTGGGAGGTTTGCACCAGGAACAGCAGCCACTGCCAGAGGACATTCCTGCGGAGGGTAGTGTGATAATTTCACTTTTGTTGAAGCTTGGAGGTGGCAAACATGGTGTCCTTCTCCTGAGTTCTTTGGTTCTTCCAAAACTTTCCCCTCTCCCCTCCCCAGCGAACACACTGCTCAAATCTCTGTCACTTTGTTCAGTCAAGTTCAAAAGCAGGCTATTTTCTACTTGTAGGTTTCTCTGTGATCTCATAGTTTCTGTTCACTAATGTTCTAAAAGCTTCTTCTAATTCCCATATTATTTTTAATTCCTTCTGTTGGAGAAATCTTTGTTGCATTTGAAGTGAGGCAAGTATTCCAGATCCACAGCCACAGTATTTTGGAGACAGCTATGCATGTTGTGTTACTGATACTGATTTGAGCTGTAACTGGAAAGCATACTCTTGCTTTCCTCAGAAGCCTGAGGTCGTCTGCATTATACTTATGCCATTCTGTAATATGCCAGCATGTGGTATAATTCTACCTTTGTAAAATTCATAAATTGTTTAAGGCAAATAGACAGGAAAGTTGGGATCAGTAGGAGCTTGTTGCCAGTGACCCCCATTCTGCACAACTGCTTGCACTAGGATGTGGTAGGCAGCCTTTTAAGTGTATCTAACAATGTTCAGCATTTTAATGATCATGGCATAAAACCTCACACAGTATTCATTTATTTTTTTTGTTGTTGCTCTGTGGTTGGTTGGTTGTCTCTGAGAATTTGTTGTAAAGAATATTAGTTACAGATACTTGTGTTCTCACATGGTTTCATAACAACTTTTTCCTGACCTTTGTCGTGTGTCTATTCCTTGTAACTTGAGCAAATATCTAGGGAGTTATTAACCATACTATCTAAGCAGTGATGGTTTTAATGAAAGGAAAGGCAAAGGTGAAGTTGGGCATCTTGCTGAAAGAGGCTCTCTGGAACAGGAATAAACATAGGGAGAGCTGCAGGAATGGCTGAGGTCCTGTTTTGTAAGAGGAAGTGACAGCAACATTGCTTGTGTGGCCAGGTAAATAGAGGGAAGGGAGAGGGGCTGACTGCACCATCTTAACACAAGAAATAAGAATTACACAAGGAGCAGAGGGGCTTAATCTCAAGGACAATATTGCTACAAGGATAACTTTATAAATGTTCTGTGAGTAGTTGCATGTTGAAATTCAGCAACGTGACATTTGGAACAGACTCCCAGCTGAAGTAGTTTGAGCAGAAAATTTAACTTTTAAATTGAAGCTTGATGCGTTTATCTGGATTATATGAGGTTGTTGCATTCAGTGGCTCTGCAGAAATCTCTCCACAGAAAAGGAAGGTGTTTACATTGGCTGTGGGGCATAGTCTTACAAGCATTTATTAACAAGCTAACTAATAACTTCCTCTGGTATGGAATGCAACAGTGTTCCTTTAAACCTTCAAGTGTGATAAAAATAGCTCAGAAGCACTGAGTGTTACTTAAGGCAATTCAGAAAGTCCTTACTGCTTTTTGTGTCAAGTAGTTTAAGCAGCCCCAAAGTGGGTTTTTAGCAATCTTTTATTGATGAAGGCCAGCCCAGGTGAAGCAGGAGGAGTGTTGAGGGGGGGGGGGGGGGGTTGTCGGGGGGAGTGTTGCTGGCAGGGGGGCAAGACTCAGCTTTGGCTGTGTTTACAGTCTTTAGGCTGTTTGGCTGTCTCCTGTTCCTTCAGCCTCCCCAAGCTTTCTACTGGAACTGCTGAGGGTTGACAGTCTTCTCATTTCATTTTAATACTATCTTCATGCCTGTTTTGCCAACTTACTCTCATTCTTTTGGTCCACTGTTAGTTATTCCTTAATATCTTGGTTTTTTTTCCCCCCCACATACTGCAGGGTATTTCCTTTCTTCTCCCCCTATCACTTGTGATCTTTGTGTTCATCTTCTGTGGTAAAACAAACTCTTTAACATCTTGTTCAATATGCCTTTCTCTGTAATGATTCTGGATTTAAAATTGGAACCATAAGAACAAAATTATATAGATAACCCAGATGAGAAATTATACTTCTAAAAATAAAGAATTTTAGGAAATATTTCCTGTTTTTTCTAAAAATGTTTTGGCTGCATTTAACTTTTTTTTTTTCTCCCTGTGTTAATATGCCATATTGACACGAACACGAGGACTACTACAATTTCAAAATTACAGATGAATTATGACATATAAAAGAGCAGATAGAAAAATCAAATAATGACTGTAAAATCCAAATAAAGGAATTCTTTTGGATTCTGAATATATAGTCTTTTATTCTATTTGTCTCCATTGGTATTAATTTTAGAGTACTGAGTCTGAAAGAAGGTGTTCCATTATCATACAATGCTTACTAAGAGTGATTATCTGAGGCAAAAAGCTGCAGTCATGACAGTGGTCCTCTGCTACTGTGGTTTGATACTGTTACTTTCTTTCCTCTGTCTTAATTTCCTCTCAACCAACAAATCCTAGCAACGCTTTATTTTCAAGATTCTGATTCTTGTAGGTCATGGCCTATGTGAAGCCACATCTATTGTGAGTCCATTGAGGTTTGGGAAATTACATGATGGTAAAACTGGCTGGTGATCACACTATAGAGCATGACTGTGTGAGCTGGTGACCTGCCTCTCTCCAGCACCCTGACTGCTGAGAGTACTGTGCTCATTGGCATATACTACCGACTTGGTTTAGTCTGCTGTAAGACAGAGCCCTTAGTTCTTCTGGAAGCCATGGCAACTGTAGATGACAATTTGGTGCTGGCCCCCAGGTGTGCAGTGGTGTTATCTGCTGTAACGTGGGCACTGAATTATTGCTACTGGCTACAAGATGATTTCATTTGGGGCATTTTTGGTTGTATAACACGTGCAGCTTTTCATACATCTGACTGAAAGAAAAAAGAGATATTAAGATAAGGAGGAATTGTTTCAAACCCATTGCTTCTACAAACACTGCCCTTCAGGTGTTTCCATTTTCTCAGTTTCTGTGATTCTGCAATTTAATCACCCATTGCATTTTTCTGACAGATTGCTCCCTGTAAAGCAAAGGTCAGTGCATTGTCAGCTTCAGTTTTGAAAGTTCAAACTTACAGTTAGTGTCTTGGGGGAATATTGTCTGGCCTCATTCTGGCATATTCCACGTATCCTTAGGTATCTCTTTGTAGCTAACTCATCTAGTTCCTCCTTTACGTAATGTAATGCTCCAAAGGTATTTTTTAGAGTAGTAATGTCTTTTACATGTTGTAGACCACCAGGCTACCTGCTCTATTGCTTCAGCTTATTTAGTGCAGGCAGGGTTTAATCTTTCTTTAAATACA